CTAAGCTTGGCAAGGTGTCTAGAAGGAGCCTGTAAGAGTCTCTTTGACTAGGTATTTAAACAGATAAAGCTAAATGAGATAAATCCCATCTGCCATTCCTACGGGAAGATGGGGATGACATTCCTGCCCAGACCTCTTGTTTTTAGCTCTCCTTCTGCCTTTCTGAAATATTTGCAGCTTTTTCACACATATTTTGTGTTGTTGAGGATCCATTGCAAGATGCAGTTTCTACTTTGTTATGTCCAATGACAGTGCAGAAATAGTCAGTAAAATCTCCTCCTATAGTAAACCTGAACAGGGAGAGAAAGTAAAATTTAGTTGCATTCTTGACCTAGCTGGATGCAATGCAGTCAGTATCATTTCCATGAAAAATAGAGTGGCACCAGGCCTTGCTGCTAAGTTATATTATTGTCAGTGGGATAAGAAGCTGCCTTGTTGGAGTCTCCCTCCCATTCCTTAATTTTCTTTCCTAGACCCCACCAAAGGTTATGGGCTCTGCTTTCGCATCCAGAGACCTTCCCCTTGTTTGGTAGCGTCCATTCAATGGTGTTGACATCACACTGTCTCTTGTCCCTGCCTGATATACCCTTTCTGAACTCTATCTAGTCAGATTCCTCCTTTCCCACCAGAACTACAGTGTATCCTCTCTTGCCATCCCAATGTGACATGCCTGTGTTCCCACATGACTTAACAGGCTCCCTTTGACTTGTCACAGGGATGTGGCAAAGCACCTGAATCTCAAGGAATCATGTTGCTACAAATTGCAGTCCCTAATCTTGCTTCTACTCCCTGTTGCTGGCTCTGGGTTTTTTTGTTTTTTGGGGTTTTTTTACTGTTGTATCATGGTGACTTGCTGAAATAAGCTTACATATCTGTGCTATGTTCCATGTTGTTAATCCACTTCCACTTCTTCTCCTTCTTAGAATATGTGAGACCAAGTAAGTAGTAATGACCTCTTGATTGTGAAAAAAGATAATGCTAGAAAGGAAACAAACAATGATAATACATTCAAATCACATTTTATTCACCAAAGGTACTCAGAAAGCTCAGTGCTAAATGGCCAACACAGAAAGTATAGTGTGCAGCCAGCCACACCATCTCTTCCCACAGCTTCAGAGGCTAAATTTTTCCATTTTTATGTAATCTCTTTTCTCTTCCTGGGGCTTCTTAGGAAGAGACTAAATAGAATAATACACCTGTGATACCATTAAAGCTATACACTGTAGTTTGCCAAGTGTGACTTGATACCTGGTGACACTTTTCTGTTCTGATTGTTGATGGGAAAGCCTATTCAGTTTTCGTCAGAGCAGTGGCTCTCACAAATAGTGTCTGTTTGATTTTCTTTGTCTTTTTTTGTGTGCTAACTCTCTCTAAAACATAATTCAGCTAGACACAGAGTTTGTTCCTTCCCATGAGAGCATGCCTGGGGACAGAAGCTTCCAGATGAAAGACTTCAGCCACCAAGATGCACCTTACTGTGGGGGTGTTCGCTACCATACAGAGGTGCTTGGTGTACATGGCTAGCAGTAGATTATAGACTCCCAAAGACATCTAGCATGAGAAGACACAAGTGTAACCCATCAGCCCTTTGGTATATAAGTCAAACAACTCTAGAAGCAGCCTCGTGAATTTAGGTCTCACCAGTTCTTCCTTGTTGTCAATGATCACCAGGTCTGAATTCATGTCAGTACATTCTTTACGAGAAGCATTCCAGTCATCTTTTTGCTGTGTTTGAGAAAAGAAGTAGCATTTTCCCCCATTTTTTTTCCAGTTTTGGGGGCAGCCTGCAGGACGGAAGAACAGGTGTGTAAAAGCCATGCTCACCCTAATGAAAGGATGCCATTACAAAAGAAAGGTGAGAGAATAAGTTACAGCCAGAAGAGTACCTGTGCAGCCCTGCTTATAGTTTTCACCAAACCACCAGGGATCCCTGACAGTCTCTGTAGCTAATACCAGCACGAGAGCCACTAGGCTTTAAGTCAGAGAAGCAGAATCACAGATAACATTATCAAGCCTCTTAAATCTTTGCTCAGGAGATAAAGAGAAATGGTCAGGGCAAAAAACAGCTTTCAGTTTTCAAAAGTCTTATTTGCCTGCTGCCAAGTACAGCAGTAGTGATGCTAGTGAAAGAACGAGCATTTCTCTCCATTGCCAGGCAGGGTACCAGAAGAAACAGATAATGGGACCTGGAAAGGGTGGTATGACTCTGGGAGACAGGGACTGCGTGATGTGGTTTTGTGGTTATCCAGGAGATCCTAAACAGCAAAAGGGAATTACACTTTTAGTTAAAATGCTAAGAATGGAGGGGTATTTGAAAAGCAGTACGTGCACACTGATCTGTCATGCTCACTACAATGTTGTGATACCAAAGGGATTGTTATATTCCTGTCCGTTCACCTAGCCACAAGCTCCTCTGCATTTGCATGAGAGAGTAATTTGTTCTTCCCTCTGAAGCAGTAATGCAGTGCTGACCAAGCACTACTTTTAAAGAAGTGCTACTTCTAAAGAAGATGAAAATGTGAAATGTCTCTGGCTTGAGAGGTCATCCTGTGAGTGTACAGGATAAGGCTGTTTATTCCTGAGATGTTATATTGTTTGTTTGGGGTTTTTTTGGTTTTTTGTTTGTTTTTCTTCTGAACAAAATCTAGACACACACAAACATCTCCATAAAAAGGCAATCTAACAGGCTTTTGGAAACAGTCTTTTGAATGACAGAGGATTACCTACCTAGTGCCTCTTCATAGGTGGTGGAGAATGTTTCCGAGTCAGGCGGGCTGCTTGCACTGGGATGGTCTGGAAATAAGAATACAATTTCTGCTTTGAATAGCTGACCATTTTGCCGTAGACTGCCAGATCTCTTCTTTGACCCCCACCATCACCCCACACAATGCCTACTCCTCACCTTTTTGCTTCTCCATTGAAAAAAACACAAACTGTAGTACCATACTATGGAGCAGATTTCTAAAGAGCCTAGCTCTGAAACTTGACAAAAAACGCCCTGCACATTTTCCGCGTAGTGGTAGATGTGGCGTACAGTCTAAGTGTAACTGTAGCAATAAGAAAGAAGAGCCTTCTTTGAGACTGCAGTGCTCAAGCCAATCTGTTCTTGATTGAGCATGCTCCCACGCAGATTGGAGCTGCGCTCACTGTCTGGTCCTACCTCCAACAAGAGGAGGGAGATATTCTGGCAGATCCCACCTGTGCTCCAGCTGGAAGCTGGTCTAGCAGTGTTGCTCCCCCAGACCAAAATGAGACAACAGTGTTCATTTTAGGTTTTAACACAGATACCCGGGCTGAAATTGCCTTGATTTTCCTCTTGCTTCTGACACATTTGTTGTGAGGGATTCCTGCTCCACAGGAGGCTTCTGACTCCCAGAATAAGGGACTGTGGAGGGAGGCTTACAAATTTGGTTTTATTATCTGATGACTAGCTAGGCTGCATGAATTTATCACTGAGAAAAAGGAAGAAAAGGGTTTTGAGAGGATGAAGAAAGTAGCTGAGGTCTCAATGAACTAAGCGTATGCTTAGTGAAGCTCTTGTGATGTTTATGCGTTTTTCATGTCTTCTCAGGCTCAAGAGTTTAGATCCTGTTGAAAGTATGGAGTTCAGGGATCACTCACAGTTAACAGGCTAAAGGAGGATTATACTGTTCCAGTTGGCTGTGCGTAGCAGTAAAGAAAATCTTGATATTCTCCCAGCTTCTCTGCTTAGGAAACCTCAGTTTTAAAGACACGATTGTCCAGGCCATGAATGGGTATTATTAGTTCAGCTGTCTGGGAGTTACTAAATTGTCTATAACAAAGTTTAAGGAGGCATTTTTGAGGTTATTTGGAGTTGAACAATGAAGGGATGAACAATAACAGTAAAGAAACATTAGAATAAAAATTGTAGGGGTAAAATCCTTATACTTGAAACTAAAATTGATAAATTCCTTTAAAAAAACAATATATAAAATGAGAAAAAAGATTGAATTTAAGAAAGTTGTAAGAAATTTGTACCAGAATGGCAAGGAGCATGAAAGAACTGACATCTCTGCAGACTTCATACTAGAGGCAAATGATAAAAGAAACAGAATATTAAAGGAAGAACTTTGTTTACAAGCAGTAAGCTCAAAAATAAGATGAGGGAAAAGAAGTGGAGTGGCCATTAGGTTAGGTGACACCTAATCTCTTCTGGACATTGAAAATTGGTAGTGAAAGGATGGATTACTAGCCCAAAGCATCCCAACTGCAACTATCAACAAGTTAGTTTGCAGTCCTGAGCTCTTACTTTCCTTGGTGTAGAACCACTTCCCTAGTACCTATGTACCTTTACAGATGCAAGACCCTGTAGTGCAGTAGGAATGATACCTTGGAAGTGGTTCAACCCACAAGAATGTAGTCATAACTATGCTGACAAGAAGTAGCTATTGAGTTCGAGAGATGAGCAATTCCGTTACAGATAATCCATTTTTGCCTTTTACCCACCTCTGGCAAAAATAGGACATTGTATCATAAATGTAGTATCCCTTTGTCCCATACATTTTCTGTAGCCAAATTTTTATTGACAAAAATCCTGAGGAGCATTTGTGCCCTGATTGAATATCTTATTCCAATAAGATCTTCAGTTTTCAGAGAATGCTGCAGAAGTTAATTATTTCCTCAAGAAACAAAGAATTTTGGCAAGGCAAAGGTTTTCAGGAAAGGGAATACCATTCACTAGGCACATACTTGCCTGTTGTGAGAAACAACCTACCCATGTGGAGATTTTTCCTACCAACTCCATCTCAGAGGGTTTTTCATAGCCAAAATGAAGCAACATTTAGCCCTATGATGATCACAAAAGGAATATAGAATTTTTTTTGGCTGGCAACTACAAATATCCCTAATGGCTGAAATATGCCCTCAACTACTGCATTAAATGATTCAGTAGAATACTCAACATTGACATAATTAACATTAATATATGCCTGTCTTATATAACATATCACCTCTCCCAATATATTTTGTTTCAGATTTATCTATAGATCATCAAGGTTTCAGAAACCCTACAGCCAAAAATATCCAGAAGGATTTCAAAGACAACCAAAGACTCCAAACTGAGCAGTGACATAAATGAATCTCAATTTTAGTACAAAGGATTAATCAGCTCCTTCCATAAGCCTAGAGCCGGACAGTGAGTGATGAAAGGAAATAAGTATGAAATAACAGTATTATTCTGGGAAATGATTATACTTGCTTTCCCAGAAAACAGGGCCACTGGACCAAGTTCCTCTGTTCTGTAATTTTGCTGAGGCTTTCCAGCATCTGAATGGACCTAGGATTTTGTATACTTTCCTTTCTTTCTTTCTAGTATTAGCTCTAATAAATAGCTTTCTAAATAATACCTTGCAGAATCCGAGTGCATTTTTTTTCACATGGATCACAATGAGCTGGACTCTCCTGGTGCAAAACAGTTGTCAAATAATGCTTTTGCAAATTGCTGAAGTATGAATTGCAAAAGCCACAATAGACTTAAAAAACACACTGCTTAGGAAGTCCTACTTATCTAAGTTTCTTTCCTGACAGCAAGGAAGAACTGCACTTTTGGAGTTGTGAGAAAGAAGTTTCACTCTAGCACCTAAAACCACATGCTGGCAAGGTATAATACTGGTTTTACATTTACAATGGAAAGATCAAAGTTGATCAATGAAAGTATAATTTTGTGGAGACTAAATTGTATGATTTACCCTGTTCCTTTTAGGGATTAACTTCCAATATATTGGTGTACAAGCTAGGTCTTAGATATCACTACTGAACAAAACCAAAAACAAACAAACAAGGAAAGGTGTATGTCTGAACATTTGAAAACAATGGCTTTTAAAGCTCTGGTATATAGAATTACATCCAAACATGTATACAGACATACTCATGATAAAACATGCATTATATTTTATAGAGTATTAAAACGGATAATTGTGGTGGAAATAATGAAGTTAAAGCTGAGGACTGAGAAGTTGAAGAAGCAACTACATGTTTGGAAGAGGCAGAAACAGAATTTACTCTTCAGGTAAAGTTCTCAAAAACATGATATGAACAAATATCAGGATCATTTCATTTTAGAAGATGAAGAAGTTGGGTTTTGCATATATATAGCCTGAGCCTGTGGGTGGGATCTTGAAGTACTGCTTGTAAAGATATCCTGAAGTGCTTAGTATGTAGTAGTACCAAATACTGGTACTAAAACTACGTAACATAATATTAAAGCATTTATTTCTGTGCAAAATTAGAAATGAATGCATACTGGTATGCATTACAAAAATGAATACCACTCTACTGAGTCTCCTGCTTTGTGGAAAAGAGTTTACAACACATAAACTATAGATCAAGATTTTCTCCTGCAATATTGTCACTTTTAACTCTGCAATTTGCCTGAGAGATTCAGACAGCAGCATTACTGAAAATGGTTCAAAGGCATCAAAACTTAACAAAGCAACAATGTCCTGTTTGCTTCCTGGAGCAACTTAACACTGATTAACACAATTTTATTGTGATTTAGGCATGTGATAATTGGCAACATCAAAGATTTCTTTGCTTTTTACTGCATCCCTAGATCAACAAGGAAAAATAGAACAGAAAAATTCATTTGAAATCATAAGCTTTTAATGCATATATGTATTTAGATGTATATATCTTGAGGCTAGATATCAGCTCCTGGCTTCAGAAAAGAACAAAATTTAATTCATAGGAAGGAGCATTTGAAACAAAGTCAGACCTACCTGTTCTTGGAAGACCAGCTCATGAACTGCAGGGTCAATTTTTTACTTACTCTTAGATAAATTTCCTCTCAGGAAAATAGAAAAGAATATGATACTACTATAAAAATAATAAAAATTTCTGGTGAGGTTCCACTGAGTAAAATTGTTGTCATTTTCATGAACAGAAATGGAAAATGCCTTCTGGCCTGCAGACCTCTTGTATGATGAAGCAGTATCAAGAGGTGACAGTTAAGTTCATTTAAATAAGCTGTTTGCCAACAATGGTGTATTTGGCAAAACAAAACGCTATGGAAAACTCATGTAAATTATGCTTTAGAAATAAACCGGTCAAAATGGCAACAGTTTTCATTTGGAGTACAAGTGAGAATGTATGCTATTGAAATGAAAAACTAATTTGACTTAGTTTTTCAAGTTTGATCTAGATCTCAAGTTTCTCAGAAATATTTTTTTGGTTCATTGAGGCAGTACTGAGCCCAACAAAGTAACTATAACTGCAGCCAGACCTGAATCAAAGTGTAATGACTCCTAATTTAACTCCTGATTTAAAGCTATATTAAATGCTGATCATTTCCTAGAATCATAGCATGCTTTGGGTTGGAAGGGATCTTAAAGATCATCTAGTTTGAACCCCCCTGACATGGTTGACCAGGTTGCTCAAAGCCTCATCCACAACTTCTCTGGGCAACCTGCTCCAGTGCCTCACCACCCTCACAGTAAGTAATTTCTTCCTAATATCTAATCTAAATCTACTCTCTTTCAGCTTGAAAATGTTACCCCTTGTCCTGTCACTACACTCCCTGATAAAAGAGTCCCTCCCCATCTTTCGTGTAGGCCCCCTTTAAGTCCTGGAAGGCTGCTATAAGGTCTCCCCAGAGCCTTCTCTTCTCCAGGCTGAACAACCCCAACTCCTTCAGCCTGTCCTCATAGGGGAGGTGCTGCAGCACTCTGATCCTTTTTTTTAAAGTCAATCCTATTTTAAGATCAGAGGTTTTGGCATGTCTTCATAAATAGTTTCTCCATGTGCATCTCTGAGTAGGTGGCAAACTCTGGGACTTG